TAAACATACTATCACCTATTTTTATACAAACTTAACTTTGACTGCATTGTAGGATTTGAGAGCTGTTACTGATTCATACCAGTATGGATATCCTTTACATCTTGTCATGCTCAGAGTAGTTTTCTCTACTTTTAGGGTTGATTCTAACAAGCATACCAATTTCAAATAGAATCAGTCAAGGCTAACCAATAGTCTTATGATTCAGATACAAGTAAGATCAGTCATAGTAAGACAATGTAAGTAATACAGGATTTCAGCCTAAGTCAATAGGAAAGTAAGGATAGTTACCATGGTATAACCTGCTATTTTTGGTTCTAGAGGTCTGTGTCCTCAAATCTGACATGAGTGGACAGACCAGAACAAATTAAATTCAATCTAAATAGAGGTCTGTGTCCTCAAATCTGACATGAGTGGACAGACCAGAACAAATTAAATTCAATCTAAATATGGCACTAGGACTACTGTGTCTTTTAAATCATTATACACCATTAGCAATGACCTCTGCTTTTTTTAAAATATAGTTTCAGAGCTGTCTATACTAAAGACTAGCTTACCGTCTCTGCCTCATGTCTGCTTCTCCACTTTTCTGCTATAATTTGTCCACCTTATTCCCTCATTCCATTGTCTGCCTTGTTCACTGAGGCCTCTCTGCCACTGTTGCTGGAATCCTGATATCTCTTCCTCTCTTTCTCTGTAATGTCCTTCAGTGCTCTCTGTAGGGTTGGATTGGTGGCCACGAACTCCCACAGTTCCTCCTTGTCTTGAAAGTATCTTATTTCTTCATTAATTTTTAGAGAGAGTTTTGATGGATCTATGAACTTTGGTTGCATATTTTTTTCTTTCAGGACTTGGAATATTTCTCCCCACTCCCTTCTTGACTTAAGAGTTTGTGTTGATAAGTCTGCTGTTATTTTGATAGATTTCCCATTATAGGTAACCCGCATCTTTTCTCTGGCTGCTTTTAATATTCTGTTTTTTTTGGTGGATTTCTGGGATCTCGATTATTATATGTCTAGGCGTAGATCTGTTTTGGTTGTAGGTAGCTGGTGTTCTGTATGCTTCTTTTATCTGGATATCATTTCTTTTTGCTATACATGGGAAATTTTGCTTTAATATATCTGTGCATATTTTTTGTATTTCATTTTTGGATGTTCCTGCTTCCTCACTCACATTCTTTATTCTTAGGTTATGTATCTTTTTGTCATCTTCCAGTTTTAGAATTGCTTCTTTCTGGTTCCTTGTTATTTTTAAGAGGCTTTTTCTTTCACGTTCATATGCCCTAAATCTCTCTTCAAGTTTCAGAAGGCTGTCTTTAGTTTCTATCAAGGCATTTTGCCAATGTTCAATGGAGTTTTTAGTTTCCTGATATTCTCTTTGGATCTGTTTCATGTATTCTAAGTTATGCTTAAATTCTTCTTCAGATGCTTCTCTTTCTTTTCTGATTTCCTCAGTTCTTCCATCTGTGTTCTCTTGGGAGGGGCTTGTCATTTCTTTAATTAATCTCTTTATATCTTGCCTCCCTTGGATCAGGAGTACAGCTTTAAATTCCTCTATGAGATCATGTAGGTACTTTTTAATTTTGGCTGATGCTGTTTCGAGTAGTGGATGATTACTGTGCTTGTTCTCTTCAGTGTTTAGTTCTCCTGGGCTTATTTTCTCCTGTTGGGCAGCTGGAGATTTTTTTTTATTTTTATCTCTTGTCATGTTTCTGGTTTCTTTCAGACTGTCCTGGAGTTCTCTGGCCCTCTCCGAATTGCTTAGGGCCTTTCAGAAGCGTGCTGGCTTGAGTTTTTGCTGTCCTCCCCAATTTACTGTTATCTGGGGTAGGCTGGGGTGCAGGGGCGGTACAGGCTAGTCTCTAGCCTCTGTGCCAGTTAGTTCATCAATTTGGCTGTACTTTCTGGTTGTCACTGAGTTGTGACTATTTTGTATCCGCTTATTGGGCCCCAAGCAGAGGCTTGGTTTAGCCCCAGTAGCTCCTGCCAGTTCTCTTTGTACCAGAAGCAGCTGAGTAATGTCACTATGGCACAGGGTTCTGCCCAAATCCCAGCTGTTCTCTTCCAAACCTCTCTGTGACAGGAGCACCAGAATAGCAGGTCCGCCCAAAACCAAGATGTCTCCCACTAAGTTTTCTGTGTGGAGCTGAAGCCAGCAAGTAATCAGGCTCTGCCAGGATTCAAGATGTCTTCCACCAGCCCTCCCTACAGGGGGACCTGGTGATGTCATCACGCTGCAGTTTCTGCCGCCAGGCTAAAATGTCTGCACCAGACTCTGTGTTATTGATTTCCCCGTGGTGGCGGGCCAGCTGTTCTCTGGCCAACCCCAGCAGACGCGGGGTTCCCAGTACTCACCAGAGTCCGGTGCAGGTCCTCATTCCGGGACCACCGCACACCAAGCTGCCCACCTTTTCCACACTCCCGGCACAGCGCGGAACGGTGCACAGCGTGCACTCCTGGCACAGCGCGGAACGATGCACAGCATGCGCTCCCGGCACAGCGCTGAATGGTCAGATATCTGTGCACCATTTAGATTTGAAATGCCAGAGCTTTGTACATCCGCTCTGGTGCAGCGGTGCAGTCCTGGCTGCTACTTGGAGTCCCGGCCCGGGTCTCAGTTTCCCGCAGTCCCCAAAAGCAATTCAGCTTTTCCTGCTGGGTCCACGGGTCAGTTTGTTGATTTAAAGGCGCAGGATTTGCAGCCTCCCGTTATCAGCGTTCACGGTCTCAGCACGACTTTAAATCCTCCAGCTGTACTGTCTTGGTTAATAAGAATCGCTATCGATTTGTCTGGCCCTCTCCATGTTGTCATTTTTTAGCTTCTAGTATGAATTCTCCAGAGAGACTCTTCGCTCGATCCCCTAGCAAGCCGCCATTTTGAAGACTCTCCACACACTTATAAAGTTTCAATCGCTGGAGAACCATAGTCCTAGTTAGTTTTGTTTTTAATATTATTTATATTTATTTACCAATTGCATCAATTAAATATAAGTTTTAAACTCTTAATTTTTAATTCCTTGTTCAACTGACCTTAAGCACATACTTTCCCTATGAAGCATAGTAAGATTCCAACTTCTTAACATTTAAGGTACTAAATGTTAGTTATATTTCCTCTTATTTTTTCATATCTGTATAACCTGATCGATATTTGAACCCTCCGCTCCATTGCAGCTATGTATATAAACATATATCTATATTTTTTTTCTGTGTTGACATTATATACTCATTGATTTCTGATCATAAATGGGGGCTGTATTTCCTGAAAAAGCTTACAAGGATTTAATCTTTCAAAAATAATTAAATTCAAAAGCGTTAATTCCCATTTATGCTTGTAGCTTATAACCAATTGAATATTGATATTAATTCTTTTTTCCCCAATTGCTAAATTCCTTGAATTTAACATCTTATGTGATAATCTGGGGCCTTGGAAAGATGATTTATTCCAAAAGCAAGTTCAGCTTTCTTAATAAGGTAAAGAAATCCAGAAATGGAAATTTATCATTTTGCAGATATTTTTGAATATCGGTATGAGAAAAATAAAGTATGATTAAAGATAGAAAATACTTTAATGTGTTTGACCATAGAGAAATGTTAAATGTATGAGAAAATAAACATGCATCAAAATATCACCTAGCATGCTATAAATATACAAATGTTTTGTGTCAACTAAAAAAACTAAAAACAAAAAATAAATTCTTTTTGATAGCTAGGTTATATATTTTTGTAATTCATATTTATCTGCTGTAAGTGATATACTTAATTTCCATTCTGTATCTTAGAAAAAGAAAAGACCTTTACAATACATACAGCAACTTATTTTTTCTTTTCTATAGCTTAATAAATCAGTGATGCTTGAATAATAACAGCTAAACAAGCACTATGATAATGAATAATAGAGAAAATAATGGAACAAAAGAAAATATCAGAACAAGTTCATTGTTTTCATATACTACAAAATAAAAAAATCTAGTTAATATATACTATATACAATTATTAGAAATGATGCATTAATATTACCCATTCCAGTTTTTGAAATATATCTTGAACTGTAATTCTTGTAAATCAGTAGTATTGTAAATATGTTCTTGATCACTTATAATTCAATATTTTATTGTGGATTATTTATTCTAACAGGAATTGATCATTAGTCTTTGTGCTATTGTATAACGAAGACATGATTTTCTATTGATTGCTATCAAGATACTGGCATTTCCAAAACTTAAATTTTTGATAGATAGAAGTAGATGATAGGCATATAGGAGCAAGTGAGAATTTTATTAACTCCATCAGTGTTATTTATAAAGACATGGAATTCTATTTTATTTTTTCAAAATATAGTATTTTAAAATCTGCAATTGATTCCAAAATTATCAGATTACAGGATTTAGAATATCACAGGAGGTACTTTTCATAATCTCCACTTTCATGTTCCTTTGATTTTTTTGTGTGTTATAATCCAGATCTGTTACAGAGTGTAACTGAGAAGAAATTTAAATAAACATGCAAATAATGAGAATATAAAATAATATTTAAAAGAATTAGATATTATTGAGACTGTATAACAAGGATCCACTTGTGCTGTACATTTCACTTTGTAATAGTTCTTTTATAGGACTGCAATTTGTCTGGACATCATACAATATGTTGAATTCGATGTTACTTTTTATACTCTGTAGAAATAGAGATGATGAATCACTTGAAATACATACAAGAAAACATATATTTTGTTTACACCATGTTATTTCTTGAATATTCAAAAGAAAATAAAAATTATTTCCTAACGTAAAAGAATGTCTTTTTTTTCTTTGAAAGTCACTGCTTATTTTAATAAGCTGAAATGAAGGCCAAAAAAAGGTCTGCTTCAAAGTTACTCATTCTTAAAAGTTTTTCTTCCTTCTTGGAATGTGTTCCTAGGAAAATGACCACCCGACATTGTACTACGCTTATTCACTGTACTATGATGCATTGGACAGAGGGTTTATGTACATTTTTGTCTTCTTCTAGCAATTGTTGTTTTGAGCAACCTGGAACCAAACACAACTTATGAGATCAGGGTTGCAGCTGTGAATGGGAAAGGTCAAGGAGACTACAGTAAAATAGAAATCTTCCAAACATTACCAGTCCGTAAGTAATCGTATCTGACTTGCTGTACATTGCCATTTTCTTCACTTATGAATTTATGGAATTTTATAATACAGGAAGATTCTTCAACATTTTTAGGAAGTGAAAAATGTCTTTCATAAAATGGCTTCTAAAGATGGTGGCATCTCAAATTCATAAAATAACAGCTCTAAAGCAAGATAAAAAAGAAAGATATGGTAAAAGCTGTTATGAGACATTTGTCACAGTCTGAATAATTGGATTTTCAACTTCAGATTAATTTTGTGAGATAGTAGAAAAATATTCACATAACATTTCTAATACTTTGTTGCTCTGATGAGACATTGTTATTGCCTTTAGCTCACAAATTACGATGTCATTAAGAGTCAGAATAAGGAAATAATAAATTAATCTGCACAGCAGTTGCTGACAAAGATCTACTGTAGTCTTTCCCATAACTATGTCATTTTGAAATATTATAAGTCAGTTTGATTTTTATGAAGTTAAAATGAATTTAAAGTCTTATATTTTCCTTTTGTTGAGTATATTTTTAAATGTGAGACAACTATATGAACAGATGCTCTTATAAAATCCCTGCATTACTGTTTTATACACATATTAGGAGAGCCAAATTGTTCATTATGAGTTCTCTTACCTTAATTATGACCATTGATTTTTTGATTCCCATAGCCTGTCAGTTGAATTGCCTTGTCTCCATTTCCATGGCTGTCACCTTAGTTAGTCCCTCATTTGCTCACCACAACGCCAACCTCCTGCATCTGAACCGCTTATCCCTACTCCCATGTGCTCTTCCCCTAATTCATCTGTCCCTTCTCTGCTCTGAAATTTTCAATCTCCCAACCTTTTATGTTCCCACCTCATTTTGCCTGTTTGTGATACAGCTGCTCCAAAGCTCCCTGTACCCGCAATTTGATGTGTATTTGTATGATGCTTTGTGTGATGGGTATTTGTTTGAACTTTTGTTCATAGAACTGTGCATTTCGCTGTGATTTGCTTGTTTACTTCTAGTAGCATTCAGGAAACTGCAAATGAGTTCTAAATAAAAGCATGATTTCTTCAATAAAATTGTGGATAACCTCTCCAACTTTATTTCCTCCACTACAATCACAACTTTCTTTCCTCCAACATCACAATCTCTCTCTCTCTTTTTCATTAATGTTATAGTCTCAGGTTACCTCTACCTACAAATACAGAATATTAATTAAAATAAATAAGACATACAGACTTAAATATCACGTCTTTTCTTGCATATTAGAAACCTAAACACAAATAAAAAGCAAAACAATAGATCAATAATAATTACTATAGAGATCTTTCTGAACTGGAAAGCATAACAAGAGATAAAGGGAGGTAGGGAAATTGGATAGAAAAATGAATTTAAGGAAAGAAATGTGAAATAGAGCATTCACAAATCTAAAGACAACCAAAAATTGGAGAGAGCAAAAAAGGATGCAAAGGGTTAGGAGCAAAAAAGAAATAAGTATTCTGTGCAGGTACCAACTTCTCACAATAAAGATAATCATTATGTACTGCAAACACATGCTAAGGAAAATAATTTCAAAGCTAAACTACAATACAGCTTCCTAAGTGTATAACTGACTTAGCTTCATATCTTTAATATAAGGAACAATTTGGAAGTTTGGAAGCTAGACCAAAAATATGTATTTATTTGCATCTTTGAATGTTTTTTCTAAGGATTTTTAGTTATATATATACATATAACTAAATATATATATATGCATATAATTTAATATACCTCAGATTTCTATTAATATTTATATTGCTTTTGCATAAACATTTATTGTGATCACAAATAAAAATTATAAGTTTTATCTATTGCCAACAGAATCCACATGACGTTTGCTTTGGAATTTATGTTTTTCAGAGAACGTTTCAGTTATAATAGAATTACAAATGTGGTATGCTCAATTTTAAGTATATGCATGGATATTTTCAGTTTTTATATGCAGCAATTGCTAATTAAACTATAGTTTCTGTTTTGTAACTCTTTCAAAATGCTATCATGGAGCTGGGGATTTAGCTTTGTGGCATAAACACCTGCCTGGCAAGTGCAAGGTCATGAATTTGATGCCCAGCACCAAAAAAAGAAACAGCCATCCTGAAAATAATATAATTATATTATTAAATGAAAATGTTATAAAATCCATATTATCAAATGTATATTTTCCCATAATCTAATTACATGATTTTAATATATCTTTTTATTCTTCATATCTATATGTTAATTTGATTACATTTACTGCCAATCACAAAAAATTTTTCTCTTCACTCTTTCTATGTAGCTTTTACATATGAAGCTATTTTTATTACTCACAAGCTAACATATCCTATATCATACTACTTTAAAGATCTGTATTTTGGCAAATTAAAACTACTTGCATGCCTTAAGTTACAAACACTATATTATAAATAATGTCAGCTTAATGAGGAGAAAACATATCTCAGTGTCTCCAGACTGGAAATACCTAACATCTTCACTTTACTGCATATAGTTTATCTTGATATTCTTCTAAGTATTCTCAATCATAGCAAATTATTTTTGTGCTTGTGATACTTAGTTTTGTAAACCCAGGCTCATATTCATATCCGTTTCCTTCCCCTTAGAGTCTTGGCTCAAGCACATCAGAATCCTGGCCCAAAGCTGGGAGATTCCATTCTGAGTTACCAAATACTGATAGTATTCTTCATGTAGAAGAGGCTTATGCATGACTACATCCCCTATTCTTCTTAAAACAGTATTGTCAGGATCTGTGATATAACCTGAGACAACTTGAAGAATACCATGAGTGGAGAATATATTTCATGGAACTACAAGAAACTAAAACATTGAAACAAAAGGCTGTATAATACAGTAATATAAATGTTAACTTCATCAACTTTCATACAATTATAAATCTAGGAAGAATACGTGGATTACAGTAGATAGTTAATTGCAAGCCATTATTCATCTTGATAGGTAAATAATAAAAATAGTTTGATGTGTTACTATACAGTGTTTATATTAACAATATTCACAAATTTTGTCAGGTAAATTTATATTAATAAACTCAGTAGGGACTCACATTATTCATAATAAGTAAAATAAAGTTTACACTTGATTAAACACTGCCCTTGCAGTATTTGCACCTGGTGTATAAAATCTGTATTTGGTCCTGAGATTTTTCAATTTTGGCCCAGTACATTTGGATTTATGAATGTTGCTAGTTTTTGGAGAAGTGAATGAGGATCAGAAATTATAACACAGCACAGAGAAAATATCAAATGGTAATGTAGGCTAACAGCATATATTTTGACTATATGGCAGTGTTCTTTTCATTAAAATGCAGTTTCTCTACATATGTGAAATGTGGGCAAATGAAGAAATGTTGTATTGCATATTTAGGTGAACCAAGTCCTCCATCTATACATGGGCAGCCAAGCAGTGGCAAGAGTTTTAAACTCAGCATCACCAAACAGGATGATGGAGGAGCTCCCATTTTGGAATACATCGTGAAATACAGAAGTGTAAGTATCTTGTTTATTGTGACTTTGTATCAGGTTTTATAAGCTGAATTATGAGTTGCACTGAGTTCATAAAGAGGCCAGGAATGAATGCATATTCAGAAATAGGAATCACAACAGCTAATTTTCCATGCTGAAATTCATCATTTTAAATTGTGGCGTTTTTCCTTTGTTTAAAAAAAAATGTAAGCATAGCGCATCCAAAGCATCTCATAGCTTTCAACTTGTAATTTACAGATGAGAAATACAAGTGATCAAAAATTCAGAAAAGGCATACTATTTTCCCTATTTTTCTTACAAGTTTTGTAAGATAGTTTTACTCCCAATTCTGCTTGTTATTCATCATTTCAGGCTAAGCTTTCTCAACCATTGTATTTATTTGGGAAGAATTGTTAGCAAATCACACCTCAGCACAAGCTATTGTAATCAAATACTAAGATTCTTTTTCCTTAATATTAAATGAAGAATATCCATAGTAAATGTTAGGAAATAGGAATACTTTTCTTTAAATTTAATTAGCAGTCCCTATTAAGAGTTTAGATAGCAACCACAAGGGTAGTTTATCAGGTATGGGGGGAGGAAGATGACTGCTGGCTGGGAGGCAATGAAGAAAGTTCCCCATGACTTTCGCTCTTTGCCTTTAGCTAAAAATACTCAAAGTCCACTGAGAAATAGTTCACCTCAAAATGTTTCCATAAGGAACACTGACTAGTTGCATATAAAATAAAATATATTAAAATCATGTTTCTTAATCATAGGTGGATAAATTTTCAATATTTTCATACAATCCACTGCTACTACTAAATTCAATCAGCTAGGTTTTGAGGAATAATAAAATGGAAATTTGATTTTCAGTGGCATGCTTCCATCTTTAATTTTAGATTTCAGTTTGGTCTTTTCAATTTAATGTTAGGATTCCTTTCAAAGACATCCAGGTTTTGTGCTGCCTGTGCAGAGCAGCTCTGTTTTTTGTGTGACTTGCTCTGCAGGCTTCCTGCTTCTACACCAAGACAACCCTGAAGGGCTTATTGGTCTCTCTCTGGAGCTAATCGTGTCATGCCACGTAGGCCAGGTTTCTTGGCCATTCTCCTTGGCTCCTCTGGAGACGCTAAGGAAGGCAAAGAAACTGTCTTTAAGGAACCCAGCTCTGATATGAATTCAGGAAGTACTGGGATACCAGGTCCTCTGCACAGATGGCAGCCTGTTTTTCTTTCTACCTAGAGTTTAATGGTAAAATATATGGTAACAGTTAGTAAGGACCTTTAATAAATTCCCACAGCAAACACTATAATGCAATGACTAATTTGTGACACTGTGTCTCACCTATTGTATGAATATTTTTTACTTAAAATTTAAGATGGTGCTGATTTTCTTTCTAATGAGTTAATACTCACCAGAAATTTTGGTTGTTGTGCTCTGTGCAACCAAAGTGCATTATATTGATGATAGAACATATCTATTATTTCATGTTATAGCTTATTTTCATCTTTTATTAGTGACCTTTATTAACAAATCATCAATAATTTAGAAATACCGTCATTTCTCTTTCCTGCTTCTATTTCCAATTTTGGAAAAGTAAAGTTGATAAGTTGCATAAAGCATATATATTTTTTTCAAATCCTGTAATACAAGTTAACATTACATATTTACTCAAAATACTTATTTCTGGAAAGTGGTCAGTAATTTTTATATAAATTTTAATCTTAAAGTTGACATAGGTTGTTTATTTGTTAAAATTTACATCAGGGTTCTAGGAATCAGTGTCAAAGTCTATGAAAAGAAGATATTTTCCTGGAACTAATAAAGTTTATTTGTAAAATATTGCATATTTAGGGTCAAATCCAAGAAATGGAATTAGGAATCTAAATTGTTTCTCTTTAAATGTTTTATTCTTAGCATATTGGCTTTTATCTTGACACAGATTATCTTGATTCCTAAGTGATTTTATATCACATTCGGGATGTGAAGACATTTGAAAGGACCAAAAGTACAATAAGATGTTGAATCTATCTCTTATTTCCAGCATAGCAAAACATTTTATAAAACCTTATCAACAGCATTAAAATTATTTCTCCTCAGAAATAGATGGCCTCTGTCCATTAAAGGATGTTAATGAGTGACTTGATTTAACCAGAAGCTGTTTGCCCTGAATTGTGGCTGAATTATTTTTATAATTTTAATGAGTGTTAGCACTTTTTAAAAGGCACACTACTGGCATTTTGAGTAGTCCAGTATTAAGATACCTAGTTCTAATATCCAAAGCAGAATATCGATATAACTCCCTCCCTCAATATATGGCCAATATTGAAAAGAAAATTGTTCCCCAAGGAACACAATACCAATTCAGTCTATTACAGCCACAAAATAATGACATTTGAGTCATTTATGTATATATTGCATTTATATACCTATATATGTTTATATAACATATAGTTCAGTTTTTAAAATAAACTAGTATTTATTAATTTCATATTTTCATTTTTTTGAATATGGAAAAACGTGGGTTAAAATTGAAACATTATGTGAGAGTTAGATATGGAAACAACTAATTAAGTTGTTAATAATATGAGAGTAGTAAGTTCAGAATACTGTATAGTGGTTCAATAAATTTTATCTTTTCATGTAACAATATGGCTCCATCTTATATTACAATTTGAACAAGAACCACTTTTATCTTTCTCTCTCTTTCTTCCTTCCTTCCTTCTTCCCTTCCTTCCTTCCCTCCTTCCTTTCTCTCTTCTTTCTATACTTTTAGACAGTGTAATTCAGGCCGGGTTTAAACTTACTAGGTAGCCGAGGCTGTCCTTGAAATTCCTGTGATTCTAATGTCTCAGCCTCCCAAATGTTGGGATCATAAGTGTGTACCACATGCCCCACTAGAACATTTCTATCTTCTAAAGTTGTCCTTCTTTTTTTTTTTTTTTCTGTCTTTTTTCATTTTTATCGGTACCAGGGATCGAACTCACGACCGCCAGCTTGCAAGGCAGGTGCTTATGCCGCTGAGCTAAACCCCCAGCCCCTAGTTGTCCTTCTTTTATTCCATCCAATATAAAGATTACAGTTTTTATAGTTGCTTGCAATTTATACAAGGATTATTTCCCCCCTCAGTAAAATTATGTATGTTTCTCTCCCCAATTGCATTTCACTTCTGTTTTCATATTCAGCATTAATTTCCAGTCTTCTAACTCCACAAGTACTGGATAATCTTCTGATTTTAATATCATAATGGAAATGATAGACTCACTTAATTCAAACACATCTATTATTGGCTACCGTTCAACATTGTCATGTTTGTCTTAGAGATGCTAGGTTTTTAACAATGAACACTGCTTTAATAGTATAATTTTAGGCCTCTATGACAAATTTTGCAAACACCTTTTTTTATATCTTTATGTGTTATAAGCAAGAAATTACTCACTGGTAAGGGAACTTTTGTGTATAATAAAATATAGAGTAATACAGTTTGTTTTTTGAAGGGCAAGCTGAAGCAGCCAATTAGGGTGACTTTGTGGTTAGAGATAGCAGATAACAGAAGATAAGACTCTATAATTTAAACACATTTTACAGCAGCAGTAGCCCAACAAAAATTTGCCTTTGGAAATTACACTGCAGGAACCTTCCGGCCACAATTCTTCCTTCCTAAGCTGCTCCAGTCCTGTGTTTCCAGTTACAGCTGTTCTGTCAGTTTTTCTCTTTGCCGTACCATGTAAGAGTCTGCCTTCTCTTTCAGTGCATTATTGCTATAGTTTGCCCTTTCTTCTTAGTTTATTTCACCCTGCCAGCATCCTACTCTAAAGATGCAACTGAATATCCTAGGGTTAAATACAAAGTTATACTCACATCCACAAAAAAAGATTAAGAAGCAATAATTTCATGCATACTTTATTTCTCCATGTTTAAAATAATGATTTTTTTAAGGACATTTGTTACTAAGAAGTTTTAGTGGCATTTGCCTTGATATCCTACATTTGCAGTGAAGTGGTAACTTTTTCAGGAGAGTTCTTCTCACTGGTACACTATCTATTATTTAAAGCCACTTCTTTTATTTATTTTGCAAAGTGAATAAATTCTAGAGTGGAGCAAAGTGAAACTAAATAATTTGAAAAATGACTTAGAACTTTATGATGCATTTTTAAAAAGACAACCTCAATGAAAAAAAGTGATAAAAATTTGGAAAATAAGTAAGACCTCAATCCTAATTGTTTCACTAGATCTCTTCGCAGCCAGTTTTTCAATTCTGTTGTACACACAGCACATATTTTGTATTCTGAGAACAATATTAACCAAAGCACTATGCTCTATAGGTGACTGGTGATTTCTAGCAGATAGTGAACCAAGGTATTTCATTTGAATTTCACTGGGAAAAGACAAGACAGAGCTAGTGCATGAATTCCTGAAAGTAGGAAGCATTTTTTCCTATGCTATCCTGTAACACAGCAGATTGCTTTGTTCAGTCACCTGTGAGAAATACAGAAATTATTAGATCAGAACTAGAGTAATAAAAAGTAAGTTAGTTGTCTATGGACCTTCATGAGAATTAACATCTCCAACAACAAGATGGTAAGATTAAATCATGTATCTGATTAATTATGATTAATGACGAGCACATTTATTTAATAGAATGAAAAAACACAAAAATTTATTTCAAGTTCTGAATGTTACATTTACTTAGTAATGTCTCAAAATCATACTCATTTATTTTATATACCTTAAGTATTTTTTCTATAACGCAGATTGTTCTTTAATTTTATAGAAAATCAAACAGTGATGAATATAATGGTACAAAATTTCAAAACAAAATTGTGGGAGACTAACAATGATTGATACATTAAATATTGTTACCTTCAAAGTAGTTGCTCAGATTTCAAGACATAGGCATAAATAACATATGCATAAGCCTGTCTGGTAACTTTATATAACTTAATACATATCGTTTCCATGCTTCCATGACCTTTTCACAATTTTTACTCTAATTTGATGATTTCTATGGGATCATAACTGTCACTTAGCATTGGAATAATATTGAGTTTTTGGAGATGAGATGAGCCTGTGAAAAGTGATCACTTAAACTCTCAATTGTGAGAAATATTGATTAGGAACTAGCAACAATAACTAATAGCACATATTTTCAAGAATTAATTAAACTCCTTAAGCCATATGAAGTCCAGAAAATTGTATATCTGCATAGGAACAGAATAACAAGACATAGTATTGAAAGCAGTACTAGATTTTAAATTAATAAAAATAAGCTTTGATTGTTGAGAGATTTATTTTATAATTATGACATTTTAGCCTGTGCATTGAAATGTATTTAATAATGGATTTTAATTTTGAAATACTAGTGGACAATGAATAGGTCTAGGTAAAAGAAAGTGTGAAATAGTTTAGAGATTATTGTTTATTTTTATGTGAAAAAAGAAAATGAGTTTTATTATCTTTACATTGACAGTGTAAAATAGGCTAGTTGTTTAAATGAACAAAAACAACAATGAATCAGTTAACCCATTTTACTCAATTATAATGTGGTGTATAATAGATTCACAAATATGAAAAATAATGAATACACCCCAAAAAAATCAGTAGATTAAAATTAAGTGTGAAGATTATGGCTTTCACTCTGCCAATAGTTATGGATGTGACAGAGGTAAAAACAAAGAAATATTCTATTTATTTTCTCTTAGTAAAATAGAGGTGAGGAAGCTGTACAACTGTTACTCAAAATTCATCTTAGGAAGTTTTACCCTGCTTTAGAACATGGAACAAAAACAATTTGAGTCATTTCTGTTAAAAAAAAAAAAAAAACCGAGAGATTATAACTTAGAAATGTTTGCTAACACCTACTAAATCTTAGATGTCCCCAAAGCTCAGGGGAATGCATTTTATTTTACATACACATACAGAAGCACATGTGTATATGTGTGTATGTATATGACATGAATTATCCAGATTCCTAAATTTTCTTTCTTGTATTCAGGGTAGTGATCATACTATTAGAGATTTCTGAATTATTCTATTATTTCATAAAAATAGTGAATATTTGACAGCTGATATCAGGAATCTAGAAACCCCAAAACTGTTGTATAGTAATACGAAATCTTAAATCAAGATACAAGAATAACAGGAACCTAAATTTCACCTAGTAAGTATGATCTCACTATCTGTATTGTTCCTTAATTGTGCAGTTTTTGGGGTTTTAATATCTATTTCCATGAAACCTTGAAAAGAAATTAGCTAATTACTACTTGTTAGGAATAAAACATCAGATGGCCTTCTAAAAATGAAATATATGAATTGTTCCTCCTTTGCTGTGTTATACTCTTGTAACAGAGAATAGAAAGTATTTGCTAATATGTCAATGTCATGACTCTAGAGTCACCATTAAGAAGTATCTTTAGTTGTTGCATGGTCAAGATATTTTCTGACAAAAAATATTGCATTAGAAGTTAAATCACATAAAAATGCCCACTTTTTCAGTAGCTGTCCTTCAACGTTTAATTGGCTTATTAATAATAGTCCTATTCAGCAAATCATCTCATTAAGGTACCTAGGGGAACATTTTGCAAGCAGTTATCTTAAATCGATCCCTGGGCATTTAATTTCTGTAAATGAGGCACTCTGCAGATGAGATTTCCATGCCTAGGGGAGTTTTTTGTAACACCCACTTTAATTTTTTTTTCTGTTCCCTAGATATAGCAATTAGGGGATTAAAATATCTTCTTATCTAATGTTGAATGAAAAATGAAATTGATTTATATTGGAAAAATATTAGAACTCCCCTTGGTTTTTTGAACCATTAGTCTAAATTACCATGATAAAAGTTTCAGTAGTCAAGAGTTAAATGACTGTTAATTCAGAAAAGAATGCATGTATTGCATTTGCAATGAAGTTTTTCTTCAAATGTTTCATTCTCAGAATTGGTATTTGGGATAATTGCCATTTTCACCTAAAATGCTCAGTTTCCAGAAGTGATATATTTTGGAGGATTACTTGAATGACATGAAGACTATTCATCCTCTAGGAATAAGTTTTATTCTGAGGTATTTTCGACCTCAGTTACTATCTTATTTTTTGGCTTGAAATCAATATTTCCACTCAGATCCAAAGCAAAATCCAATCCCTTGCATATCTACAAATTGCTCATAGCAAAATCTTCATAGTTACATAGAATCTGTGAATTATTGGGGTAAGGGCAGTGTTTCAAAGGTATGCATGTTTCTACCTCCTTGCATGGCACTAGTTTTAATATAACTCTAGAAATGTTTAAAACATTTGAAATACTTATCTTGGAGCATATATTTTATATCCTTTAATGGTTATGCATTTCATGGTTGTACTTAATTTTGGATATAGCACTCTGTGAAGGAATGACACATACATATATAACATATATATATATAGATAGATAGATAGATAGATAGATAGATAGATAGATAAAATATACCTAACACATAGAAACGTAAAATGAATGAGGCCAGTGTTCATTATTTCCAGTAACGGCAATATTTCTATAGGAGACCTGTCTAGCCTGGGACTGCATTAGATTTCTCTCTACAAGATCTCATTGAATGTTTTTGTTATTCAGAGAATTCATCCCCTTCTTCTGTATTGGTTTATAAAACAAGATGACGGTATTATTGTACACTATTGTCTTCACAGTTCCTAGAAGAGCCTCATTCCCCAATAAAATGAGTAAATGAAGAAAGAAGTTGTTGCACATGTTGACTCTAGTACAGCCACGCTAAGCATTCCCAAAGCATGTCTTGATTTGATTCTTAACTTTATTATCCACTTATATTCTTAGACCAGTAATGGATTCTCTTAGTTTTCCTATTCTGATTCTAGTATAACATTTAGGAACTTAAATTCAAATGGAAAACAGGCCATTTTGAAAAAAGCGTCTACATATATTTCCCATAGTAAGATTCAATATAAACTAATCAAAATAAAAATTGAAAAAATATAAACAAAGTTATTTGTGTGACAAATTAAATGTTTAGAGCCCTAATCTCATTAGGGGTGTTTATGTCTTAAACTTTATAAGAAATAAAGAACTAATTTATTTATGAAATATTTATATTATCAGAAATGACTCAATATATAAAGAGAATAATAATATAGCATGAAAACCATAATATTTTTGTTTCATTCTGAAGGATTGCATATTCCCAGTATGCCAGTTTAATGGAGTTTATTGTAAAGAATAAACCTTTATTTTTTCTCTCTAAGCTCAGCAAATATTTTATTCTCTATATTTGAAGGAACACATGTTGGCTGATCATAAGGTAATATTTGGATAAACTATAAGGTTAAACAAATCTTTGTATCTTTTCTTACAGCCAGAATTCATGTATTTATACCTAGTTCCTAGTAAGTAAGATTTGAAGTTGCATTAAGAGTATTATATAAATGATGTTTGAAAAAATACTTCATTTCTTTATGATTATTATGGAAATAGTTTTTTCCCAGTAATGAGCACTGTTTTGATTATGATTCCTTAGACCCCAGAAAACAGAATTTACTGGTTTTCATATGATTCCATCTGAAAGTCTAATGGAAGAAGCTGTTAATTCTGTTGTGGACAGGAAAGGAACAAAAAGGACAAGAAACTTGCCCTTTTTTAAGTAGTTAACATGTGGAATAGACAGTGTTTCCATGTTTTTTGATAATGTAATTCATAAAATTATACCAGTTTGGTTTTCTGTGTTAGTTGTGGTAATAATGCTGTTTCTTCAAAAAAGAGAGCAATTCTAGCATCATTTGGCCAAAAATAAGCAAATAGCCATTAAATTTAGAATGTTTTGGGGGAGGATTACTCTTTAAAATTTCCCCATGAAAATTTTATGTATAAGCTATTTCATTAGGAGTCTTAAAACATGATAATAAAAAGTATAAAAGGTAATAAATATGTACAATAATACCCATAATTTAATTTCCATATAGATTTTCTCCTTCACCAAATCTTAGTATGTCTCTGGCAATGATTTAATGGACATACTCAACTTATTTAATCTATTGTATTTCATTTTTCTGCTCACATGCTTAGCAATAATTAACAGGATTACCAAATCCCAAACAGTTGTATATCAGACAAAGAATACAATAATGGAGGTAGGTGATAAACTACTGAAAGTATACAGAACTGCCATTCTGGCTAGTCAATGTAGGCATTTTATGTTACATTGTCAAATGTTGAAAATAATACTGACTGCATTGATAAAATGCATATGTCCACATGAACGTGAAAAGTGGTATTAATGAAGCTATTCATTTCACTCAAGTTTTTAAAAATCACAAATACAATATACCAATATTTACAAAAGATATCGTATCTCTTTACAGAAAGATAAAGAAGACCAGTGGCTAGAGAAAAAAGTACAGGGAAATAAAGACCACATTATTTTGGAGCATTTACAGTGGACCATGGGATACGAAGTTCAAATCACAGCTGCCAATAGACTAGGATATTCTGAACCTACAGTGTACGAGTTCAGCATGCCGCCAAAGCCCAACATTATTAAAGGTAAGCAAAACCTCATGCTTTCCTCACATAAATATTGTGTTATCTTTTTATAATGACTCCGGCTCTTTTTATTGAAAATGAAAATATGAGTCTGCAACCTAAAGTAAACTCTAGATTTCAATCATGAGTATTGAGGTATGTCATACTGGTGTTCTTGAATGGCTCTTGACATGGGCTATTTTGTAAAAATGCTATGATAGCTCTAGCCACAGAAGTGATAAGAGGATAAACAGAAGGAAAGAGTGAAAGGTGAGAATGAATGATAAACATCAGGATGAAAACCTTCTGTTGAGACCAGAGGAAACCTTTGTCTTATTTAACAACTTCTCTGTCATGTGAGAGGGAGCTAAAGTGTGATTCTGATTAGATCTTGCCAAAGAAAAGGATGACTAAACAATGAGATTGACTTTAGAAATATGAAATAAACAGACAGTGAAGCAAGCGCAGTTACAAAAGAAAGTCCACGTAGACATATTACTACAATTTCAAAGAGATATGTCAAAGAAGGAATCTCTAAATCTGTTTTCACAACAAATTAGCAGGTTGTTCTTTTGTTAGGTAGTAATATTCACATCATTATCTAATGATATGCTAGGGCTATTATTAAACTATGAGAGCACTCAAGTTATTTTTGGATAGTACATAGTATAGATATAAAGAAGTGAGAACATATGTATAGTGATACAAAATAATATTTAATTGTGTTGATTTCCATATTGTTCACATATTAACACCAGCCGTGTACTGTATGTGTCCCTTAAGTATGACCTTCAGTATTTAAATTTTATAGATATATGCTGTTTATATAAACATGTAAAGAAAATGAGAACATCAAATTAACTCAAAAGGCCAGAGCGTGGGTTATTATCAAAGAATACCACTGTTAGTACATAATACTTTTGAAAGTAGAATGGAACTAAAATTTGTCATTTCAGCCATGTTAGTTAACCCTCTTGTAATTTCAAATTGATTCTAATCTCATTTAGTATGAGTTCCTTATATCATATGTCAATTTTAAAAAATTGAAGTTGGTTCATACAATTAATTTTTATTAAAATAATTATTGATTATGAGATTTAAATGTAATTAACTTTATCACTTTGTCTTGCTAATTATAATTAGTTAATGCTATGAATTGTAATTTTGATTATAAATTCCAATTGGTGAGTTAAGTGCCTCTAGAAATAATATGAATATCTCACATTATGATAGTATTTTCTTTTTAATTTACCACATCATATGCATTTGTCATCTCATTTTAGCCTTAATTATAGTTACATAAAGAACAGATACTCATTTTAGAAGGATGATTTTTAAAGCCTGAATTATCCATTCAAATTCGGTGCTACTTCAAGTCCTATGAAAAAAATCTGACCCTCATAGGTGGTGATACACCTAAGTAAGAGAGGTTGAATGTACTATATTTTATTAATTGTTTGCCTTACGAGTGAGAAAAGTCAACAATTTCCTCTATGATTATATTATGGTTATAGTACTTATATTCTAAGAAGATAATATAAAAATAATTAGAAACTGAATAAAGTATCTAAGAGAGAACTCAAAACTGTATCTCATTCTTCTAAATCTTTAATGCAGCTCACATATTTGGAGGAAATCATGAATTTGTATCAACAGATATTAAAATACAGTTACATAGAAAGAGTAAGCCCTAATATTCTATAGCGTGAAAGAGTGGCTATAGTTCCCCAAAATTTTTCATGTATCAAATGTGCTCGGGCACACCCTGAGTAATGATAAATGTTTCAGAGATGAAAATACTAATTACCCTGATTTGATTATCATTCTGTGCTATATATATATATATATATATATGTACAAATATATGTCATTGAAAACAAAAAATAATAAATATTAATGGAGTAAAACATGACATTTTAATTGCCATTTATATATAAATATAAGATGTAATAAATTAGGTGTTAGATATGTTATTTAATGTGATATATATAGATTCCCTGGAATTTTTATAAGAATTTATTGAAAACAAAAATCAAGCCATATATGGAAACGTATGACTGTAATTCCAACACCTGATGAAGGTGAGGCAAAAATATTGTGAATTTGAATCCATTCTGGTGGGTGGGGATATGTAGCTAGTATGAAGGCCCTGAGTTTAATCCCCAGTAATGAAAAGAATAAGAAATAGAAAAAGAAAACAAAAACCGATAGAGACTGTATAAATATTTATAGATATAGATATATTGATACACATTTTTTTTTTTTTGGTCTTTTTTCGTTTTTATCGGTACCAGGGATCGAACTCACGACTGCCTGCTTGCAAGGCAGGCGCTTATGCCGCTGAGCTAAATCCCCAGCCCCTATTGATACACATTTATGGAAATGATGCTGCTTTTAAAAGGTTAAATGATTCATTCAAGTTTAGTGCTACTTTAAATCATATTAAAAATCTGTTGAAATGACATACCTAAATAAGAGCAATGAAATGTACCATCAATTATCGTTTTATTTGCCCCATAAATTTAAAGTATCAATACATTTACCTATAACTAAAATGTATTATGTTGACTGTCATATCTGTGTATAAGGCATGATGAAACATTGTGATGCTTTCACCCTAAAATATTATGTTTACCTTCAGTTTGATTAACTTACTGAATGGAAGCTCATAAGGAAGAGCAAGATTGAAAATGTACAGAATTCTAATTTCATTTCTTCTGGCTTAAAATCAATTTATTTATTCATTCCAAGAATATTTCCAAAATTTTAATTTATGAAAGAACTGAGATGAGGACAGAAAATTAATGCCAAACAAAAAGAAAAAAAAAAAAAGAAAGAAAAGAGAGGATCCCAGACCAAAATAACTTTACAGTCTAAAGGAAGACTGACTTTCACTGTGAGCAATAATAACCCAGGATTGGTTACAACTATGGGATGTATTCATGCTGTCTGCACCCATGCAACTGTTTGCCCAAATAATAATAATTTGTAGAGTACAGTTAGAGTACAGTTAGGATTACGAATGGTTTCCTTTCAGAAAGTTTTCTTAAAGGAAGCTTCCACAAATTAAGCTCCTAGGGAGTGTTAGTTCCATGGAAAAGGACTCTGACACAAGAAAGTATTAACCTCCTTTGAGAAGCAGAGAAGCTTTATCTGGAGACTGAGATGTGTGTCTGAGGATAAGACAACAGAGGGAGCTACAACTCAGACTTTCCAGGGACTTCGTAAAACTATATAAATAAATTTAATGCTGATCCCAAAGTCAGAAAGAAATATTTTAAGTTAACTGAAGATACAGGCATTATAAATCTAACTATGTGACTCATGCAAAAGGTGAGTGAAGAGTAAGTAATACAGTAGGAGAGGGGATAAGAGTAGGAAATGAAGAGGATGAATATGCTGGATGCATTATTAATGTAGACCAATCCTGCCTCTGTAATAAATAGGACTTGATAGGTAATGATAACTCTTAGGTTACCTTCTTGAGCAAAGCACGCCTCGCGGGTTTCATTTCTCATTGTAAATAAATCTGGAGGAAAGCAGAGTTTGGAGAATGAGAAACAAATGGAATAGCAGTTTGAGACATATTAATTTTGAAATGCCAACTAGTGACTTGATCTGTGATTATAAAGGAGAGAATATAGACATGGCATAGAAAAATATGCTGCAGACTGTGAGTCTTAACAGGTGAATGATATTTGAGTTCCAGTGAGGATAAATCTACCTGACAAATAACGTCTAAACTCTTTCTAGAGAAACTGCTGTCTGTGATACTGATATTCCACAATATTCTCAGGGTGACCAGCACAACATAAAAATTCAAGGAATATTTCTAGAGTTACTAACTTGGTTGATCACATGAGTCTTATGGAACTAGTACAAGAAAAAGAAAATGTACCTGCTCCTCAGGAAACTAGAGTATTACAAGTATTGAAAAAACAGGAATGTGATACCTTGCAAATTAAGAGAGGTTCAGATTTCAAGAAAGGAAGTATCAAGTGTCCATTGCTACCGAGAGGAACAAAACCAAAAACAATGTGAATTCCATATTGCATATTACATGCAGCCTTGCTGAAGTAGTTTAGGGAGAAATAAGAGTGAACTGTGATGAAAAATTTGTTGGAAAAAATTTTATTAGTGATTAGGTTTGGATTCTTTGTTTATATAGTGCTTTCAAAAGGATTTTCTGTGACAGTGAACAGAGAAATTAAAGTCAATAGTTTAAACAGTTTTATGACAAACAAGATTAGCATGTGTTTCATATGTGTTGAAACGTATCAAGTAAGTACTCATGAAGTCTGAGTCAACATACAGCCAAAACCTTAGAAACAAGAGATGGTTCATAGCCTCTCAAATCTATGCAGGTGACAGCAAGCCAGTATAACTTATTACAAAATATTTTCTAACTTACTAAATGAATATACTTATTGCAAGGTTATATAGAAAGCTTCATCAAAAATATTAAGAATTCTTCAATTTAAATGTAGATCTCTTAAGACAAATTTAAAATTGAGAAATCTGGAGCCTTTATTCCCACAAAATACTGTAGACATAAACTTCCAAAATATGGAAAAGTGTCTTGATATACTTTTTGTACATAGTTTCCATTTCAAGTAAAATATAAATTCAAACTGATTTCTGAAACTATCTATAATAAATGATCAGATTCTAAGTATTTTTATATTAGAGAAGGTAATGAGATTTAAAGTTTAATTCATTTTACACTAATTTTATATATGCATGTTGATGGAATAAGTTTAATGGATGTTTTTAATTAATAATTATATGTTAACACATATTTACCTTCTTATAAACAATGAGTTAAATCCAAAGTAGATTTATTTCAGTGACCTGCTAGATTTTAATAATCTCATCTGGGGACCAGGGCTAGCACAAGATCTTCAGTTCGATCATTGGTGCCAAAAGAAAAAAGAAAGAAAGAAAAATTCCTCTTTTTATGTTCATAGCCGATACGTTGCACTGAAAATGACTTTTCTGAGTATGTGTTCTAGTGAATACCA